TACATAAAAGAATTATGAACAAACTAGATTTTCGAAAACAATTTTACACGGAACACTTATTTATGACTTTGAACTTTGACTATTAACTAATTTCCATTAAAATTTCTTGTTTCAAAAACTTAGTTAAAAAAAAACAGTTTTAAAACGACAGACCATAGTACTAGCTATTTAAAAAAATATATATATAATTACACTTTCCGTATCAAGTTAGTTAGGAAAGGTTGCACAACCATGTCTATTATAATCTTTTTTGTGACCCGGGAAACTGTTTATGCTTTCCTTGTCGGATAAAACAACCGTACGCTTGACAAGATATCGACACTCAATTACGGCTACGTTAGGTTACTGCTTGTTTTGGTACTTTGTGGTTTATAGATATATCGTGGTTTCTATTCAGGGAGGATGTCAAAATGGCCGCATGCGGAGAATTGATACTCTAAATTTAAAATCGATGGTGATCTCTTATCTAGCAGAATAAAACTTTAATATTTATGAATTTTTACTTTTTTATACATAACGAACATAATATCAATTTTTCATTTTTTTGCGAAGTTTCCCGTTAAAGGGAAAATTCGCGATTTTTTACTTATCATCTTATTATGTTCATAATACCATAAAAAACATATTCACTAAGTTTTATCTGGATATGAACAATAATAAAGAAGAAAATTGGGAATTATTAATTTTATTTATTCGAACTTCCTGACTTCTGTGACGTAGTTTAAGTCTTTTTGCATGCCGGGAGTGGATTAATCTCATTTTAAGTCTTGTTCGTTAATCATCTTATAACGCGATTTAAAGCGCATCGACGACTTTTGGCGTAGCTATTAACCAACTAATAATTCAGAAAGAAAAGTGATCAGCCGTGCAACTTTTAAAATTAAAATGCACCTTTTATATTTTAAGGATTTCTGATATGATTATAGTAATAAAAGTAAATCATACAATAGAATGTTTTTATGATTTTTTTTTTCGACGGATATGTTGAACAAACATATATAACTGTAATAAAAATGCATGTTTGTATTCTCACCTATTACTTCAGTCGAGGATTTGTCTTACTATACAAATCCTTGCTTCAGTCTAGTACTGTGTAAATACAATGCATGTGTATTATACTGACACCACCTGGTAAAGGCGTGGTTAAATTCACGGTTATTAAAAGATTAGCATTATGTAATTTTAGTCTTTTGATCTTCACAAGAGTTTTGTGTGGCCTCAAGGGTTCACCGGTGTAAGTATGAAAAACATGGGGGAAAAAAGGATAAGACAGAAGTGCGGGTTTGAGACAGGATATTTTTTTTATTATTTGGGGAGGAATATGGTGGCAAAATAACTGAATCGCCGTTTTATATTTTTTAATATTTTGCGTTAGCTCAATTTTTTAATAAATAAGTGATCATTTTGTTGTAACATCGAAATTCTGAATTACTTTCAATTAAATAATTTTATAGATAAAAATGGCTCACGAAAACGAGCGTATAAATCAAAACTGTACTATTTCAAATTATCATCGGTAACCTTGAATATTTATTTAAATGTGCAGAGAAAATTATCAGTTGCATTAATATAGTTTGGTCCGTCCAAAGCGATCTACATTTACCTAATCTGGAATGCCCTGATTAAAATATTCTAAATCTCACAACGTATAAATTCTTTAGCTATTTGACCAACGATGTTTTAAAAAATTAACAGAATCAATCTAACGTCAACTTTCCTTTTTTGAATGGAGAAAGACCGGCGGAATCAATTTTCAATGTGCTTTATATCTTGTACCTTTGCAAGACTTATCATTCATTCATAAACCCACTCTAAACCAGAGACATATATACGTCCGTTTAAACTGACAAGAAAACTCCTAAAACGGACAAGCAGTATATTCCTTAAATTTCTGTGATTTAATACCAAGAAAGAAAAAAATCCCGAAATTAATTTGATCATACTCAATATTTTTCCTGGAAAATATTCACATCCTCATTCGGTCTGAAAAAAAGATAAGAATTTGGTATACAGAACATGCAGAAGTGTGAATGTCATAAAACCTAATTGTTATATCAGAAACCATTATAAATGTGAACCTGTATACGTAAGACCTCATGGGACGTCACCTAAGATCACCTAACCACATACAGGTAATATACAAGTAGCTCTGTTATACCCGGAAATGTCAAGGTTAATCACTACTGATACAGAATATACCAATGCAACGAAAATTCTGATGATTGTGAAGCATGACCATTCATTATTTTAGAGGCGTCTTAGGTGGGGGATTGCCGGAACGATTTAATTTAAATTCTGACTAGATTTTTTTTTCTTCTCAATTTAAATTACTGAACTAAAAAAATGAAGAAAACTACGCCCAAGAACAGAATTCTTCTTGTAAATTCATAAATACTCCGTTCCTATTTTGTAACTTTCGATAGACATGTACTCCAACCCCCCCCCCCCCCCTCCCCAAACCTGGGAACAGTATATCTTACAATGTAAATAACAAAAAAAGAGAAAAAGAAAGACATGAACGGTAAATCACATCAGATTCAGATATTTATATAGTTGATTGTCGTTAGCTAGAGATGTATACATGTCTCTGCGTTAACTTATAAAAATAACAGGAAAGTATAAACTTGAAATAGATTTATGATGAATACTTTGCAACTGCGACAACCCTTTTTATCACAGCGTACATGCATGTATTTAAATGACTGTCCGTTATTTCGATTAAGAATGACAATCGTACGTAAAATCCTATAGTTCATGGTGAAACTTTTTGTACCAGATATGCGACTTTTCGTATTTATATTTTCTCTTATATTACTCTCATTTGATATTTTATGCATAAGTGCAATATTGGGAATGGTTTATTACCACCACAAGCTAACTAAATAAATTAATCAACCCTCTAGCTGACCAGACGTTAATACAACTACTATCAGTCTATCCGCAGTGAAGTTTCTTTATTTCTTCAAATAGGCTTTTGGGTAATCATTAGTGTACGTCCAGTGGCATATATATTACATGCATGTCGGAACAGGAAAATTGACATCAGGTACTTTTAGAACCATGTTCACATTATTATACATTATACCCAACAATTGTGATGATGACGAATTTCATAAACTGTTCAAAATAATCTTATTGAAAAATAAATCTGTGATTTTACTATGTCCATAACTTCGATGAACCAAAGCAAGTAATATATCGAACTGTATTTAAATCAGATTGGTTCTGGATGTTTCTCTCGTATATTCAATTTACATGTATATATTCTAAATTGCGACTATCTATAGTTCCGTAACCTTCTATCTAGGCGTATAAACCAATGATCGACAAGTGCGTACATTTTGTTAAATCAATATTTGTATGTTTCAAGATGTCCATACTTATTGACAACGAGTATATACTTACATTTTCCCCCAATTTACCCTTGGAAAATATGTAAATAGATTTTTTATTTTATCAAATCTTTTTTTTTTTTAATTATTTAGATTTTCATAAATATCATTCTTTACACCAGAAAGGTTATTTATAAACAAGCGTATGAGTTTAGTAATGACTAGTATATCACTATCGGACACGCAAGACAAAGATGTATATTACACCTGATAGTTTCAAAATGGAAAGTTACAAGTTATCGGCCGTGTACACTGATCAATACCCTCAGAAGTGAAGTGATGCACGAACTTGCTTTACGTAATTGTGTAATAAGAGTTTTACAGCCCGACAGGAAATCGCTTGAATACCTTGACGTGTCACCTCACAATACCTCTGGGATTTCTTAAGCCATGCTAGTGATCAGATAAGGGAAGGTCCGAATTTATTTAAATACGTTTATTACATAAAAGAATTATGAACAAACTAGATTTTCGAAAACAATTTTACACGGAACACTTATTTATGACTTTGAACTTTGACTATTAACTAATTTCCATTAAAATTTCTTGTTTCAAAAACTTAGTTAAAAAAAAACAGTTTTAAAACGACAGACCATAGTACTAGCTATTTAAAAAAAATATATATAATTACACTTTCCGTATCAAGTTAGTTAGGAAAGGTTGCACAACCATGTCTATTATAATCTTTTTTGTGACCCGGGAAACTGTTTATGCTTTCCTTGTCGGATAAAACAACCGTACGCTTGACAAGATATCGACACTCAATTACGGCTACGTTAGGTTACTGCTTGTTTTGGTACTTTGTGGTTTATAGATATATCGTGGTTTCTATTCAGGGAGGATGTCAAAATGGCCGCATGCGGAGAATTGATACTCTAAATTTAAAATCGATGGTGATCTCTTATCTAGCAGAATAAAACTTTAATATTTATGAATTTTTACTTTTTTATACATAACGAACATAATATCAATTTTTCATTTTTTTGCGAAGTTTCCCTTTAAGTTTGCCCCCACCAAACATTATGAAACCTTTACACAATACTTATTACCACAAAACTCAGATCTAGTACAAATTTGGGTAGCGTCACTTTTATTGTTTTTGAGCGGGGGCATCATCTGTGTCCATGGGGACACATTTTCCATTTATTTCCTTTAGGCTTCTGCTTCAGTTGTTTGGTGGCCGCCTTCATGTCTGACTATTTGGCCACTTTTGGTCAAACTATAGTGGGTGCATACGCTTAATTACCAGAAATTTATAAATTCATATTGATGTATTAAACTAGGCCACTGACTGACGAACTTCCTACAAAAGTCTGAAAGGCTTTTTTCTCAGTTTGTGATTGAATATTTCCAGTTTACACATCAATATGTTTTAGAAAAAAGTGTTTAATCCTTTCAAAGTTGTTTTTGTTTTGCCCTTATGTAAATTATAATAATTATCTACCATTTTATTGATTCAATTCTACATCAAAAACGCATCAAGAATATATAGCAAATGCGACTTTTATTTTATACAGACCGAAATGATATGAGTTAATCAGACTTAATTTAAATTCGTTGTTCGGGACGGTAATACATATTTTATATTTTTCAATGGTATAAGGGGCATTAGAATACAAGCGACAAGTTTTGCCGGTAGCATTTTTGACATTCAAACGATCACAGAAGGACAGGTATACATATGCATCTGTTTAATAAGTTAATGTAAATATATATGCACATGTGTATTTCATTTAATGGAGCATAATTACCACACTATCCGTAGATTCGCTCACATGTGTGAAATTTTAATAATGCAACATATGCATGTGCAGTGTTTTCTAATAGTAATACCGCAGTATGCTTGTCAACGTAAGATTTAAGACTAGATATCCAACATATTGATATTCTTGATTCCTGTGGTTTGTTTTTTCTTCAAACAGACAATTTCGAACAAGACCGATTGAGGAGGGTCCTCATTTATGGGTATTATACCCCAAAACGGCTATCAATTTTCAGTGATAAAAATATAAACTTTGCATTTACAGATAGTTTCTGTCATTGCACAAACATTTGGTAAAGAACAACATTTTGCCTACAGACACCATGACTGAAATATCATCAGGATAAAAGTTAACAGCCTTCAAAAAGTAGGATTTTCGGAGGCCATTATATATCTTTGTATATTCTATTCTATTCTACTTTGAACTATGGTCTTAATGGACAAAATGTCGCCAGTTATATGAATATTTGCACCATGACAGCTATCATGATGAAATACAAAATTTTATTTTTTATGTCTGTAAATTGATACCCCATTTTGGGTATAATATGAATAAGAAAATGTGGTATGAGTGCCAATGAGACAACTCTCCATCCAAGTCACAATGTGTTAAAAGTAAACAATTAAAGATCAAAGTACGGCCTTCAACACAGAGCCTTGGCTCACACTGAACAGCAGGCTATAAAGGGCCCCAAAATGACTAGTGAAACAATTCAAACAGGAAAACCAATGGTCTAATCTATATAAAAAACGAGAAACACCTATGAACCACATCAACAAACGACAACCACTGAACAAGAGGCTTCTGACTTAGGACAGGTGCATACAAATGCAGCGGGTTTAAACATTTTAACAGGCGCCAACCTTCACCCTAACCTGAAACTAGTGTAACATTACAACAAAAAAAGACACACTATAAAATATCAATTGAAAAAAATCATTTGATAATACCCATAAATGGGGATAGTACCCATTTATATGGATCTTCCCTGGTAAGCTCTTCCCCAACCTGCAAAAGGAGATACATACTTTTGTAACCAGAGAGCATGATTCTTACAAGAAAATCACATAATTTTTATCTCCTGTGGGACTCTTTAATTCGGGGCTTCTGTGTTGGATGCCAGCGCTCTAACTGAATGAGCTAAAGAAGTTTTTCCCTAGCCCAACCGCTCAATGCTGGTTATATATATCTACTATTCAAGTAAGCAATCCCATCACACTTTTATGATATCTGTCAGCAACCCAACAACACATTATGTGTTGTTGGGTTGCTGGTCCTTAAGCCAATACATCTAGAGGTTAACATACAATGAACACTCTTCAATAATCATGATAATGTGTCTCTATAGTTTGTCAAGTGCTTAACTGCCATATGGAAATCTAGAAAGTAATTGGTATTTAAACAGTCAGACATCACAAATGGACATAGACATGATAGATACCTTTAGGGATTCTGTGTCCAATGTCCATGAACAGTTTTCTTATTTGGCTACACACAAAATCACTTACATCAGTACATGTACATGTAGATTATGGTATAAAAAATAAGGAATATTTAAACATGCTTTCTTACCTTTCACCAACCCATTTTTAGCAAACAGCTTTTATTCGATACGTGCCTGAAGGCAGTACATATAACATGTATAATTTGTAAGCACATATATTTTCCTTTTAGAATCAGTTAAAACTTTGAAACTTACCCTTAATGAAATTTATCGAATATGTCGAATAACCCTTTTACAATTCAATGTCAGGATTTGAAATAAGGGTTCAGTCGTTTGCTTGCCAGTGGCCACAAAATTTCATGACTGACCAATTGATTTGTAAGGAAGTCTGCCTGCTACTTCATTTTTTTTTTTTTTGCAATAGTTTCATACATTGAATGTATTTGTATAAGTAGAAAAGACTGGCTGAAAAAAATATTGCAATTGGCATTTGGTATATAAATAGTAGGATCAAATGATGACTCGGTAACTAATGAATTGTTATTTAAGGCAGACTATCAATGTAAACGATCTTGTTTGATTTTGTTGAGTTCCAATTGCATCTTGATTGGTCCTTATACATTTGTAGCAACTCACTTTTTGTAATGAGAGTTTGAGTAATAATATAGACAGTAATTTGATTTGGCCTTTTATCAATTTATGATTTCGACGAGGGTTAAGTAGATTACTAAAATGGCAGCCCAAAGTTTGAGGCAGCAATGAAAATTATATATTTCTACCAAATCAATTAAAAAATGTGTGCAATTAAGATATAAATACTGCAATTAGCATGATTAGATATAAATTCAAAGAAATAAATGAAAAATAAGGAAGAGAACAGAAAATATTTACTGATTAGGGAAATTTCATAAGTTTCATAAGGAGGCAACATGTTAATAACAGGAAACAAACAGGTTGTTTATCACAGGCTGATCAACTTATAAAAAGTATTCAATAAAGTGCCAATTTCTTCTCAATTTTGAAGTGCCAGTCAAAATTTGGAAGGGCAATTGAATTTTGAAAAGTGTTAGCCCACTTGGCAAGGCTAAAAAAACTCTTATTTTCATACCTGCCAACCTCTGAAACCTTCAAAGAGGGAGATCTCAACCTCAGCTAAGACAGCTGTGGGGGAGATTTTGCGCGAACGACATTTTCAAGTGAAAAATATGACCTGTTTATTTATTCGTAAGTTACAAAACACGAATAAGAGTAAATAGATATACTTTATTTCTTCAATCATGCTTATATCCTATAAAAAGGTGTGTTGGTTTGTTGTTTTACTTTTTCAGTATCTTTGACATTTATGTCCCTTCTGGCCAGCATTTCTCAAAGATATGTCTGTTTCAAGTGATCTTTATTGTAATGAATGGTGCAATATGTGTATGAACAGTTACACTTTAATCACAACAAATGGAAGTTTTTAACGACCTTGACTGGCTATACAGCCCTTGCACGGTCGGTAACCATTTTAGAGAAGTACATCGCTTATAAATTTCAATTTAAACATTGAATAGAAGTATAAATCTATCAAATGATTTTCAAAATATAATTATATTTTTTGTCCCGAAATTTCTTTGAAGTGTTTTCAAATATACAAAGCTTGAGGTAAAAGTCGTTAATGATCGTTAATTAGTATTATGTTTGACACCCAAGTTGTCATACATGCGAAGCCATTTAATTTTCACATGGACTGTGATTTACAGGTAAAAAATACCCTTATCAGTGACACAAAAACGTTATTAATGTTGACTGGTCAATTCAAGGTAAAATATCCAAAAGCGGGAGATTTGATACTCCCGCGCGGGAGGGGACCGGCAAGCTGGAGATTTCCAGAATTTCGTCATTTGAGCGGGAGTCTCCCGCTCAAAACGGGAGGGTTGGCAGGTATGCTTATTTCTATACCTGAATATTGACAGATATTGACAGATACAAATGTACATGTAAATTGACTGATATAAAACATAATGCTATAGTGTTATTAACTGGCTGTTTCTGTATTAATTCGTCCTGTTATCATGGTTATAGATTTGAAGTTAGCTGTATTGCCCCGGAGACTGGAAGAGTCGAGGGCCAATACAGCTGGTTGAGAATTTATAAAAGGGCCAATACAGAAACAGCCAGTTCATAACACTTTTATTAAATGATTTTAATTCTTGAATTAAACTAAGAAGGTTATTGTGAAGAAGATACAGGAATTCATTTTTGAACTTGGTTTTAGCCATTCTTACTCTTGAATCGTCTGCGCTCTGATGATTGATCAACGGAAATGCAATAGTGATATTAATGGAAAGTTTTACTAGAAAAGGCTGTATATATTTTTTCGTTTCAAATCGTTACAAAACAGGGAAATTCTTTTAAACTTTTTGTAAGGTTACTAGTATAAGTTACAAATTAACATAAAACTGTATTTTATGCATAACCAGTCAGGGATATAACTCTATAGGGTTATTACAGAAAAATAACATACATTTGTTATTGTGGACTAAAAAGTCAAAGAACTGTGATAACATATGTATGTTACATGTTTCATAGGGACAATATACATCATTAGTTTAGTTAAAATGTATACAAGTTCTATTGATATTACTATTGTCTTTATGTATACTCAGCTATAGAAAGATATAACAGTTCACAGTTTGCCAATTATGCATACTACACCTATGTTATTACAGAAAAAATATGCTTGTAATAACTAAAGGGTGTTATCACAGCTTCTCTACATCACTCCAAAGCATTTGACCAGACATACATCATGCTTAATTACAATGTATTTTAATTTACTGTAAGAAATAATGACCAGAGCATCTAATGAGGTTCTGCGCAAGCTTCCCAGTAATTCCCAAGTGTCTCATATAATAAGTTACATTCCTTTAATAACTAAGCCTTGTTATTACAGCTAAGTTGATTCCTTAAAAGCCTCATCTCATTGAATTACCATGGTTTATCAAAAATGTATTAATTTAATTAAAACATTAGTTATCAAGGCTATGTATTTAGTTTCTGCGCAAAGTCTCAAGAGTTCCCTAGCGCCCACTATAGATTAAAATATTTTTGATTTATTTTACAAATAACAAACATATGTTATTACAGATTTAGAAAATTTAAGGAATAAAGAGTAGACAACTCATGAAAGTATCTGTAATAACACATGCAAGTTATTTTCTGTAATAACCCTATAGAGTTATATCCCTGACTGATAACGATACGTCCAAAGTTAGGTAAGACGTAAACAAATTTAAACTGGAAGTGAACGTCACGTACATGTATTAGCCCATGGGCCAATATGGCTTTTTTTTCCCGTAATGGACCAGTCTGAAAAGCAATATCAACTCATGATTTATATCAACAGGGCAATGAACAAAAATTTGGGGGGGGGGGGGGGGGCAATTTTTTTCCTCAAGATTTAAGAAATTAAAAAGAAAATTTCTTAAATTACTATTTTTTTTGGAAAAGGGGGGTGGGGTTTAATATTTTTTCCTCAAGATTTAGATTTAAGAAATTGTAAATTTTCCAAAGAAAAATTGGGGGTCACAATTTATTTTGCTAATTCTTTGTATATATTCTGAAAACAGATTTACTAGGTATTGCACAACAGCACAGTGTATTGAACAATAGCAAGAAATCTTCAATTAAATATAAATTAAAATCATATTACAAATTTTAAGTTCTTTGACTACATTTATTCTGTGTCAGAAACCTATAATGTGTCAAATATTTAATTACAATCCAAGCAATGAATATATTTGACATTATGTACGAATAGAAAATTTTCCTCATTGCACTTTAATTAATAGACACTATATCTAGTTGATAGGGGAGACAATCAATTAATATGTAAGGATTATTTCCCTTTGAACAGTATCTAATAAACTTTCAAGATTTATGTTGTTCAGAGTTGGTAAAAAAAGAATGCCCAATTGGTTAAATATAAGGGTAATTTTCTCCCATGTACATGCAGCAACCAATTACAAAATATTTATGTATATAACATGTAAATTGCAAGAACTGGATTAGCACCATTACCATTTTGACTGCAGTTTAACACATACACTGTACATGAGGCGTTAACATATATACATGTATAATGCATACACATAGATAAAGTAAGGTGTATTTTATTTAAAATTTTAATATACCGGTATACATGTGTGTATAGCTGTGTGTTTCTTTATTCTACATTGTCTAGAGGTATAGGTGGGAGGGTTGAGATTTCACAAAACATGTTTAACCCCACCACATTTTTGCGCCTGTCCCAAGTCATGAGCCTCTGGCCTTTGTTAGTCTTATATGTTTTTTAATTTTAGTTCATTTATATGTCTTAGAGTTTAGTATGACGTCCATTTTCACTGAACTAGTACACATTTTTATTTAGGGGCCAGCTGAGGACCACCTCCAGGTGCGGGTTGTTGTCTCTTTGACATATTCCCCATTTCCATTCTCAATTTTATTTTATGGTATATAGATAAACTAAAAGAGATTTCAATTAGCCATTTACAAACTTTTTTGGATCTCTATTCAAAACTCGGTGTTAAAAAAATAACTTAACTTATCAAGTATAGTGTTACATACTGGGGTATTTAGATGTTACTAATGAAATAAAGAATAGTTAAGTGTCATCATAAAGATCATAAAATAACTTAATGGATTTGTACTACACAAAAAGAATGAAATAAGTGGCAGGAAACATTTGGCAAATGAACAAAGACCTCCCCCATGCTGCCAAAATTTGGACCTGAATGCATATATGCATGATATATAGGGAATACAAAAACCAGAACACAAGATGAATAGACTTCAATTGTAAAGCTTTTTCCAAAGCTGGAAGGATGAATTTGCCGGCCTTTGGTAAAAAAATTGTAAATCCCAGTGATGATGAACGGGGGGAGTTAATAGAATCAAAGCAAGGATGTCAAATCTTTTAAAACATGTAAATAAACTCATCATAGATACCAGGATTGAAATTTTGTATTTGCACCAGATGCACGTTTTAGTCTACAAAAGACTCATCAGCAACGCTCGAATAAAAAAAAGTTTAAAAGGCCAAATAAAGTATGAAGTTGAAGAGCATTGAGGACCAAAAATTCCTAAAAGTTTTGTAAACAGTAAAAGACTTTTCTTTAGTGTTATTATATTTTTCATACAAGTTACACTAGGCATTTTTGCTAGGAATAGCTGGTGAAAATGAATATTTCATCTGCAAATATATCCTCTTGTCCCCTCTTTTTTGTCCCCCACACCATGTGTTGCAGGGGACATAGAAATACCAGATAATTATACAACTTGTAGGTTTATTTCAGCAATGTCTCGTATAAGTTTGAAAATCAGTGCTGATCAACTATTTTTAAAAGAGTTATGCCCCTTGGAAATATTAATGATATGAAAAATTTCATTGTTAGCGCTCTCATGTGTACAATTCTTGCCAGATTTTTATGAAGCTGATATCATAGCTTTATATCAGCAATGTATCAGAGAAGTTCAAAAATCAGTGCTGATCAATTATCTTCGAAAGAATTATGTGGAAAATTGCATTGTATGTGCACTCAGTCATCATCATCATGTACAATTCTTGCCAGATTTTTTTGAAACTTTTATAAATCATAGGTTTATATCAGCAATGCTCGAACAAGTTAGAAAATCAGTGCAGATCAATTATTTTTAAAAGAGTTATGCCCATTGGAAATATTACTTTTATGGAAAATTGCACTGTTAGCACTCTCGTGTGTACAATTCTTGTCAGATTTATATCAGATTTATATCAGATTTATATCAAAGGTTTATATCAGCAATGTCTCACAGTCTGGGATAAGTTTGAAAATCAGTGCCTATCTATTATTTTTAAAAGAGTTATGCCCTTTGGAAACATTAATTATATGGAAAATATAAGGATATAATGGCCATATTAGGAGTACAACTGGTCCTTAGTTTGTAATAATTTCTTTATCATGTTTATAATTTTTGTTTTGTAGAAGTATATAATGGCCATATTAGGAGTACAACTGGTCCTTAGTCTGATCATGTTCAGCTTTCTACAGAAGCTTGGTCCATATTACTCATTTGGACGGTGGCTATTGTGCAATAGACTTGTGAGATATCTGCATCCGACGGATGAAGATCTGAAAAAGGCTGCTGGGATATCTAATGTTCCAAATGGGAAAGGAAGAAATAAAAAACACGAAAAGAAAGGAGGAGGGAAAAATAATATTCAGTCAGATACATTCACGATTCCTCGATCAACAGAAATTCATCTTGACACAGCAAGGGTTGAAGCAATTGATTTAGTCTCGTTACATTTTTATTCAGACTTTCAGTGGTTGATGGAATTTGGATTGTGCTCCCTAGTCGTATACTTCATAACAGAAGTTTACTATGCCTTTTGGCCTAAAAATGAATTGAACATCAGCATGTTATGGTGTCTTCTTGTAGTCATTTTCTGTTTCAGGATATTGATATCTCAAGCTGCAGTTTACTTCAAATCAGAAGAAGGAGGGGAGAGAATCCTTTGTGTAACATTTGGATTTTTCTTCCTGGTTTTAGCCATGGGAATTCTAGTCATAGATGAAAAAATATTAGAATTTGGACTTGAACCAGGATACCAGAATTTCTCTGAAGGTGCTGAATTGTTTCTTAAACAGCAAGGAATTGATTCACAAGGACCAATCTCATTAATGACCTTCAAAATAATTCTTGCAATCATATGTTCAATTACTGGTGCCCTGTTGACATTTCCTGGACTGAGATATGCAAAAGTTCATTTAGATACATTAAACTATGTGAAGGAGAGTCCATTTAAGCAGGCACTATTACACCTTAATTTTATCATGCCGTTAGTTATAATCTTATTATGGGTGAAACCTGTAGGTCGAGATATTATATGTGCCAAAAACTGGCAGGTTCATTTTAAACTTTTGCACGAGGATGCGTTTGAAGTAGTCCGACTATCTTTAATAGTGTTGTTGTTTGTACTTAGACTTGTTTTGATGCCGCCACACATGCAGGCACACTTGAACTTAGCTTACGAACACGTGCAAAGGATGAAAAAAGAAACCGGTAGAATCAGCAATTTGGACCTTCAAAGGATGATTGCTCGTGTGTTTTACTATTTATGTGTAGTAGCTATACAGTATATTTTACCATGTCTACTTTTACTATTCATGGTATTTCTCCAGAAAACATTAGGTAACTATAGTTGGTCAGATTTAGCCGGAGAAAATGCCCATAATTATTTTGAGGGTAAAAGTATGAGTGCACATGGGATGTACGCAGAACGAGAAAACAGCACTGGCGATGCTATATCGGACACAACAGCACAATTCACATGGGCAGTAGCTAATTTGAGACAGGTTTTTTCACCGACATGGTACCGTGGTTTGTTTGGATTTCTAACATGGTGGATGACAACAGCTTGGTTTACTAGTACAACATTTGGACTTTATTATTATTCTAGAGTTGCTACGCAATGATTGTGTTACACAAAATAGATTATGAATATAATCATGATAATGTTTTTGAATCAAAATTTGTTCAAAGTTATTTTTACGAGTAGGAGGCCTTTCCTGTTTGCATGTATGGCAGGGGCCTCCAAAATCATAAATTACATGAATAACAATGTAAGGAAGGTTTTTTTTTAAGTGAGTGAGTGAGAGTTTTATATACATTGTACAATCATGTTTATGTATACATGTAAATTTTTGAAATTCTATAAAATGCAGAAAAATGATTTTAGATGAGATTTGTCTTCCAATTTTGAACTTACGAACATGACAAACAGCTTCAGAAATGAAGGATACAAAGTATTGCCAGATTTTAGATGATTTCAGGAAACTTTGGGCCAAAAATGAAATTAGAATTGTTTGATGTTGCCTACCTACCCACCTAAAAAGCAGCCTACCCGAAAAATTTTATGACACAAATCCTTTCAAATTTTCTTTTTAAAAAGTTTTTTTCATGCTCTAATGTCATTTTCTTGTCTAAAACATGTAACTTATGTTGTTGGCCAAAAAAAAAAAAAATTCCCTACCTACCTACCCAACCCTACAAGGCACGGGTAGGCAACATGTACATCAAACAAAGAATTTGTTAAGGGTGGCATTGGTTAAATCAAAAGAGATCACATGTGACATTAGCCCATTAGTCATTCAATGCAATTTTTTTCTAAATTTAAATAATAAAGATGATCAATTCCTATATTTTTTATTATTGAAACATTAACTACCATAACTACAATAATGTTCATGTAGAAATGTTATGGTGACTTGAGTATTAAGTTTTGATATTTTAACTAGACATTAATATATTGCATGCAAGTGATGGAACACATTGTGTATGATGTGTTTCAATGTGTTTATTTAGTGAATGTTAAATTAGTGTCTTTTTTTATTATATATTGTTGAAAACTATAAACCACTAATGTGTTAACAAATTTTTTGACAACTCAGGGGTTGATTCAGGCGGGGCCCCAAACCAGACAAGGTATCAATTTTGGAAGGAAACATATCAACTCAGTGGTTGAGGTTGAGGTGGGGGTCTCTTCTTATATAAAGGTATACACCAATGTGCTGCTGGTATGGGTACCTTTTTATGGAATATCAAATATGTCAATGGGGTGCAATTTCGCGGAGATTTATTTAACAATGGGTAGAAATTCATATGTCAATAGGTCATAAATGTCCATCCTCTGTTAAGAAATCTGTAAAAACTGTGTTCTGATCTTTTTATCTAATGATATGAATGTAACATTTAAATTTTTTGTACTTCATGTCAAAATGCCAGATTTTGATTGGTTGATAGGAGGGAGACAATTTACTCTATCCCATGGCAAGTACTCTACTACCCTTCACAGCGACGCTTGATCAGGTGTGCGCTTTCTTAAATACGACTCTATCCTATTTCAAACACTCTATTACCCTTCACGGAGAGGCTTGATCAGGTGTGCGCTTTATTAAATACGGATGATTGTTATGTACAAAACGTCATAGTTTATTTCTTTGAATTTGAAATTTAATCGACAGTAATAACAGAACATTCAGTATAATAAATTAAATAACACATATCTGAGAGGGTGATAGAGCATATTGTTACCCCTCCAAAATACATTGTCAACCTTGGCTTCGCCTCAGTTGACAATGTTTTCTCGGGGTAACAATCTGCTCTATTACCCTCTCAGCTATGTGTTATTTATATAATGATGTCATGATAGCTGGGAAATATATATAAATGGGTTTTGATTTTCATATATGAAATATATGAATGGGTAGTGATTTTCCCATGACTCAATATTTGAATGGGGCTTATTCTTAAAACTCCAGCTGAATGTCTACCAAAACTTGTATGTTGAGCCCCCGCCCCTATGTACATCAACATGTGTTTTGCCTCACTCAACTTAAACAAATTTTTGGGGTTGCTCCCCCCATTAACCTCAATTCCTGGATCTGCACCTACATCTTGGCACTTAATTTTAGAATAGGTTTAAGCAAACTCATTTTGGATTAACTTCATCAGAAATCCAAATTAGATTTGCATAGGACATTTTCAGTTGATGTTGATGAACATTGACATTTCCACCTACCCTGCATGCACTTGCCAACCCCTCAAATTTCCCCATCATTGATATAGCTCCAACACAAAATTTGAATATATTTCTAATTTACTTGCAATATATGAATCTCATTACAAATGTTTACATCATGATGTTAATCATGTCAATAATACAGAAATAAATCATCAATAACAAACTGAAAACAATAAGGGCTGTTCCAGAATTAAATGCAGGGGGCATGCATGGGCGGCACATTTTTTAGACCCAACCACCTATACACTGCTATACATGCTATAATATAAAATTTTCGTTTTACTTATTATTCCTACATAATTCTAAGAAAAATGAAACCGCCAGCAATTAATTAATTTGAGTGCCTCCGTTCCCCACCACTATTAAATTTGGAACAGCCCATACAGTAAAGTAGTCTATTTTCATGGAGTTTAAAAAAATTTGCCATTTTTAGAGCAAAACCACTTTGTTTTAATTTAGGATTTTGTCTTCTGGCTGATTCCTTACTTTTTAATTTAGCATGCTTGGTGTAAAGGCATCAAATACCAAGTTTAGGCTGGTATAACCAAGCTGTAACATGTGTAAGGAAGCGGGCTATCATTCAGCAGCAATGTAGTTTTGCTTTATTGGAACAAAGCAAAATATGCTGAAGGTTGATCAGTAACAGTTTTACTATTGTGGCCGTAAGCCTTACCCTTAGTCCAATTTTAGCCTATGTGAGTTATTGTCATCTGACAGGGGTAAAAATGTCATCAGGTCAAGATCTATCTGCCCTGAAATTTTCAGACATACAGACAACCCGTTGTTGGGTTGCTGCCTCTGAATTGGTAATTTTAAGGAAATTTTGCAGTTTTTGGTTATTATCTTGAAGATTTTAATAGATAGAGATAAACTATATACAGCAAAAATGTTCAGCATAGTAAGCTCTACAAATAAGTCAACATAATCAAAATTGTCAATTGACCACATAAGGAGTTATTGCCCTTTAAAGTCAATTATTCACAATTTTTCGTCAATTTTTGTAATCTTTTACAAAAATCTTCTCCTCTGAAACTACTGGGCCAAACTAAACCAAACTTGGCCTAAATCATCCTTAGGATATCTAGTTTAAAAAATGTATCAGATGACCCCGGTCTTTAACCAAGATGGCAGCCATGGCTAAAAATAGAACATGGGGGGTAAAATGCAGTTTGGCTTATATCTCTGAAACTAAAACATTTAGAGCAAATCTGACATGGGGTAAATATGTTCATCAGATCAAGATCTTTATAAATAATCATGATCAACTTCTTTCTTACTGCTTTCATTGTACAAGCAAGAAAAATAGTACGAAAATATTAATTTGATATAGATATATATATCATTTATCAAACACTTTAATCATGATAATGAAACTGCAAAAAATTAGATGCTGCAAAAATTAGTACTTGTATTATATGTAATATATGTAATTCTTATCAGTACTCATGATGATGATGTAAATATGTTAGTCAGAATTTTAAGTGGCAGCTTGGTGCTATGTATTTGAATGCTGGAATGTTTTAGATGTTTATGCAGAACATGTATTTTTATGAGAAATAAAACAGATCTCAAAGTGATAAATACTTATTATGTTTGGCCTCAAAGTCTCGAAAATCATTCACAAGAAAAACATCAATCCCAAAATTTACTTGGAAACCTCCATTTATCAGAGCAACTACTTTTTCTGTGAAGTTTTTTTTTCTTGCCTCTTGGTATCCTCTTTCTTTTTATCTTATCTAGACTAAAAGGCCATGTGAGCTTTTGTCATCACTTATCTGTCTTCTGTCTTTCGAAACTTTCTCTTGAAACTTTAAAAAAAAATTCTCCTGAAAATCCTGGGCTAAACATTACCAAACTTTACCAAAATGTGTCGTAGGTAATCTTGTTTAAAATTGAATCTGGGGATTCGATCTCTCTTAAAACATTGCTGCTGTTGCTAAAAACAGAACATAGGGGTAAAATGCAGTTTTTGACTTACATTTCTAATCTAAAGCATTTAAAGCAAAATGTACACAGGTAAAAATGATCAACATAATCTCATGAGGAATTTTCAGAAAAACTTTGGAGTTATTGCTCCTGAAATGTCCATTTGGAGCAAATAAAAATAATCATCAATACACAAGGTCTATTATTTATGGAAATTTTCAAAAATTGGAGTTATTGCCCATGAAATGTATTTTTTTTGTAAATTTTGAAGTTTAGGGTTATTATCTTGAAAAATATATCAGATAGAAAGAAATTTTAACCAGTTAAATGACCAAACAATACAATCTAAAAAAAGTCATCATGGCAGGGAGCATCAAGTTACCCCTTATTGGAGTTATTACCTTTGAATGATGATTTTTTATTCTTTTTTTCTAGCTCACCTGGACCAAAGGGCCATGTGAGCTTTTCTCATCACTTGGCGTCCGTCGTCGTCGTCTTTAACTTTTTACATTTTGAACTTCTTCTAGAGAACCAGCGAATGGAATGAAACCAAACATGACATGAATGTTCCTTATGAGGTGCTGACCAAGTGTTGATACTTTGTAGCCGATCCATCATCCAAGATGGCCGCCAGCGGGGGACTTAGTTTAACATAGGACCCTATGGAAAATACATACAAATGTCTTCTTTTAGAGAACCAGTGAATGGAATGAAACCAAACATGGCATGAATGTTCCTTATGAGATGCTGACCAAGTATTGTTACTTTGCAGTCGGTCCATCATCCAAGATGGCCGCCAGCGGGGGACTTAGTTTAACATAGGACCCTATGGGAAATACATACAAATGTCTTCTTTTAGAGAACCACTGAATGGAATGAAACAAAACATGGCATGAATGTTCCTTATAAGGTGCTGACCAAGTGTTGTTACTTTGCAGTCGGTCCATCATCAAAGATGGCTGCCAGCAGGGGACTTAGTTTAACATAGGAATCTATGGGAAATACATACAAATGTCTTCTTTTAGAGAACCACTGAATGGAATGAAACCAAACATGGCATGAATGGTATGAGGTGCTGACCAAGTGTTGCTACTTTGTTGCTGATTTACTGTTCAAGATGGCCACCAGGATATTTTATTAAATAACGTGACCAATATTAAACCAAATTTGGCCTCAATCATTATTTGGGTATCTGTTATGATTTTTATCTATCTTTACATGATTTCTAAAACCAAAGTAGAGTCAGGTGAGCGACACAGGCTCTTGAGAGCCTCTAGTTGTGTTTTTGCAGAAACTACAATAGATACAGATACATTATTAAAGCAAAAATTTCAGCAACGTAAGATCCTCAAAGGAGTCAAAATAGCAGAAATTGTTAATGGAAGCTCTTATAGGAGTAATTGCCCTAAAAAAAAAATGGTTTTTACCCCTTTTTTGGCAGATACCATAATAGATAGGGAGATATTGTAAAGCGCCAATTTGTTAAGCACAATAAGATACACAAATAAGTCTTAGTCATCATGGTTGAAATTGTCGAGTTATTATTCATATGCAATAAAGTAGTTATTTTCGATTGTGTAAAACGATTTAAAACTACTTACCGGTAGTATAAAGATTGATATACTTATAGATAGATTTTTTTTGGAAAACTTCTTGGTGACATTATGAAATAATCCAAAATTTACCGATTTGAGTAACATTAGTGACATAGCTTGACCTCTGAATTTACCAAGGCAATTGATCTGGGGGAGGGGGCGCAGCCCCCCACAAGCTAATGATGTTTTGCAAATGAAATATTATGCTTGTTATTATTTCATTATTAGGAATCAGTTAAAACTAAAACAAAGCTAAGTCTGGTTAATATACCTTTGTAAACCATGTTATAGACTGAATATATTATAGAACTACTATTTGCGTTACAAATTATCCTTTGTTGCTTTGAATTACTCTTTACAACCATAAACATTTGGATTTGTTTAATGCTTATTACTGCCACAAAACACAGATCAAGTTCGAATTTTGGTGGCGTCACTTTTATCTTTCTATAGTTATGCTCCTTTAATTACAAATCGAAAAATTTCTCTAACTTAAGTTTGCCTCAAACAAATGTTATGACACTTATACACAATGCTTATTACCGTGAAACTCAGATCAAGTTCGAAATTGGGTGGCGTCGCTTTTTTGTCACTTGTTTTTGAAGTTATGGATCTTTTTTTTTTCTTCTTCCGGTAAGCGCGGCCACCGTCAACTGGTTGACTATTCTGCCACATTTTGAAGTGAGCGCATGAAACATTTTTGAAATTTAATAAACAAAAAGAGAATGGGTGCAATTTAATATATATACAGGTGCAATTAAAAACATGGCATTTAAATCTAATGACGGAGCTGATTCAGGACTCAGAGCGGAGACAGTAGAGTTGGGCAAGGTGTTCCACTCTCTGATTGTTCTAGGATAGAACGACTCCTTATCTTTATAACGTTATATGCAAGCTGGGACATCTACATCTATCTTCCATGGACACATTCTCCATTTATTTCTATTAATTTCTCTAATTTTATCAATTATTTC